GCAGCATAGTCAATGGTTAGAGTTTATAGGAATTGTCTCACAAAATGGTGCCTTTCATGGAAGATAATATTCATTTCATATTTGATGGCCCATCAGTGGGATTAGAAAGAGATAATTTTTGCATATGATGGCAGGTCAATTGGATAATACAAGTTTCCAGTCCTCTGCAGGTGGCAGTAGGGTTGGTAATTTGAACAGTACAGCAAAATACAGCATCTTTCTACTTCTTTTAAACTACTCTAGTTATTATTTAATGAGGTGAATAACATCTGACAAATATGCTTTTATAGATTCTGTTGAACATGTACTTTTCTTTCTTGGAGTGCAGTTCTGCACATTAGAGATGATTAATAGTAAAAAGTGGCAGGAAACATCTCTGTGTTGTGGTTTTTATTTAATGTATTGGTTTTTATCCTTTATTATGGCCTTAAGAACAAGGAGAGCCAGTGGAAGATAGCATTTTATGTAATGATTCACATTTGCAAAGTGGTGTGCTAGTATTCAGTAAATGAATTCTTGCAACTCATTGCAGCCTCCAGGTAGGAAACTGTGTCTAAGAGATGACATAGTTTTAATGGCAATCTAATATGTGCACACCCCGAAGGAAGTGTTCTCTGTAGCTTAATGATTATTGCTGTTAACCTAGTGCAACTGCCTGAGGATCTGTACATAGTTCTGTCTTTCCAGCAGAAATAACCGTGATTGAAAGGTTAAAAATATTTTCCCCATATCAACGATCCCTACTTGAGCCAGGAAGCAATTCTTAATCTTTTCCAGAAACTCTTTATTTTTTATTATTATTTTGCACATTTATATTAAGCCTTTCCTACAAGGAATCCCAAGCAGCATACCTGATTCTTCTTTCCATTTTGTTCTCACAATAACCCTGTAAAGTAGGTTAAGCTGAGAGAATGACTGGCCCATCATAACCCAAAAAGTTTTATGGCTGAGTAAGAATGTGAATCTGGTATTACCTTGTGTTGGTAGAGCTTTGCTTTATGTTATGAGGATAAAATGGGTTGTTATGAGGAGAGTGATAGACTCACATTTGCCACACAGAGTTTTTTGAAAGAAGGATGGAATTCTAAGAGCTTAAGTTTTTTCACAAAGCGGAGGCTTGTCTCTAATAGTCATCTGCCCTTATTTACTTTTCATGATTACATTTAAAGCTGAACGTTTCTCAGAGGAGCTTGGTGTTGCATACATGGTTTGTCTCCTCCTGTGATGTAAGCTGAACTGATACATAGGCCCATGATAGCCTTAGGAAAAGTCCCCAGTTTCAGTCCTTGGGCTGGATTGAGAAAAACTCTTACCTGGAACTCTGAAGAGCTACGGCGAGTCCATGTACGTACACAGTCATGTACTAAGCTATTTGCATCAAAGTTCTGACTTGGTAGCTTCCTGTGTACTGGGATTTGAATTTTAAAAATACAGTATTTTAAGCACCAAATGATGCTGTTTCTTTGTAAACAAGAACAACTTTCTTAAAAGAAAAGTATGTTTTCTTTCTATATCCATCTGCTGGATTCGGGCTTAAGCAGATGGGTTGCAGTCTGGGGTGGTATTTGGTTGATTCCCACAATAGTTTCAGGCACCCCCCCCCCGCAAAAAAAAAGCTATCATGCCAAAATGCTTACAGTAAATAATAAAATATAAATGAGAAGAAATAATGCAGAGGAGAGGGCCGATAGTAAAATCACTTACACAACAGCTGAAACAAACGTGCTTTAAGAGGCCTCCTAAAGGCTGGAAGGAATGGAAAGGTCCTGTTTTCATCATTCCAAGCAGTGAGGGCCACCAAAACATACCTGCACACAAGAAAGATATTGTAATCTGTATTTAGACAATGATAATAATGAATCCTAAGTATAAAATAGATGTTGGAAAAAATGCAAGATTTTGGAAGAAAATAAAGTGAAAGGACAAAGTTACAAGGGAACAGGGTGGATTAAATCACTAGTCAAGTAAGACTAGATTTAAATCATGGTTTTGTATGCATGACTGCCTCACCTGTAGCTAGAGGATCATTAAAAAACTGGGTCTGATTTACAGTCTGCTGTCATTATAGGTTTTCTCTTCCAGGGAAAGAATAATAAGATAAACCTCAGGCTATACCCAAAAAGACCCAAAGACTTGTGCATTATTCTGCACAAAAGGTTTCACTTTCATTTTCACTGCTTGCTCCTCCATCTTCACCCTTACCTTCTTGCACAGATATCTTTGTCTCCCAACAATCTTCTATGGATTTAATTTTTTGAAACTGATCCCTTGAGAGGTATTTATTTATTTAGGAAGCTTCTATGCCGCCCCATTGGCCGAAGCCTCGGGGTGGCTCACAATAATAAATAAACACAATATAAAAACAATATAATTTGAGTCAACCTGACCAATAAATAAATAAATAACATTAACAATTAAAATAAAGTTTGAATAAAAAGGTCTTCGCCTGGCACCGAAAAACAAATAACGATGGTGCCAGATGGACCTCTCTGGAGAGCACATTCCATAGATTGGGCACCACTGCTGAGAAAGCCCTCCTCCGAGTACTTACCCTCCTAATATCCTTCACGGAAGGTTCCCGGAGAAGGGTCTCTCCCGCTGATCTCACAGATTTGCAAAGGAACAATGGGATTAAGGACTCCACTCTGTATTTTATAATACTTTTGCTGTGAAGAAGAGGCATGTGATCTCTCCTGACACAAATTCACAGCTCCGAGAACTGTGTAGCCAAGCATCTGTGGTAATATCTTCTAGATGGAAAAATTGCTCAATAATCTTACAGAAACCTCTGGAAGAGTATGGCATTGTGAATGGCTTAATAGGATTCATTTACCGAATGAATGAATGTTGTATGAATATACAACCTCATGCAGTTTAAAACAAAAATTCATTTTTTATTTAAAAAAAATCATTGATTTTTATCCATCCTGCAAGGAAGTCATGAAATGGATCAATGTTAATGACAAAAAAATTACAATGACTCAGAAAGCGACAAGCAAGGTTGGGCAGGAAATCTCCAGATATTCTGGTCTTCAGCTCCCAAAATTCTGGACTATTGTGTTTAACTTTGTGAACTGCCCAGAGAGCCTTTGGCTGTTGGGCTGTGTAGGAGATAAATAGATAAATAAATATTGGCTATGCTGGCGGGGGCCTCTGGTAATAATGCAAAAGAACACATGTTCATCATCATCATCAGAGTGAACATGATTTGTGTGTGAGCTGACAGTTGAAACATGATTCTCCTAGAAACTCAGGTAAATGGGCTAGTCTGCATTTTGAAAGAGCTGGCAGTATTTTTCTGTTCAGCAGCTTACTAATACACTTTGCAGTTTGCTCTATAAACTTATACTTTCAGTTAGGTACAATAAAGCATTGATGGATTGCATATCTGAGTCTTAAAGTGTCTTACATGTGACTGTTCTGAGTCCTGTAAAACTTGGTCTCTATAGCAAAGGATATAAAATCACACAGTGTGCATTTTCTGCATCAACCTTGACTGTGGGTGGCAATTGTACATCTATCATTCAATCTTAAATTATACTCTTGCAGTATTAAACTATTTTTTTAGAAATTTAAAAATGAGAAGTGTCAATTTATGGAGGCTACTGGAGTAAAAGTGTGTCTTAAAGGAAGTATATGACATGTTTTATGACAATAGCTTAGTACCTTGTACATTTTAGACTATTCATGTTAAAAGGCTGAATTTATAGTCTTTAGCATGCACTGTCCTTGATACATAAAATATTGCCAGTGAGACTTTGTGCGTAAATACAGTGGATAAAATATTGCTCTGTAATGTGATTCTTACATGAATTTTTCCAGGTGGTTTTCAGAAGTTCAGGTTAAACAGATGACAGGTTTATGTATAACCATCTTTCCAGATAAATCAAAGTGAAGGGGATGGAGCACAAGTATTCATTGCAGATTGCAGATATGAATGGAAAGCCCAAGTTATATAACTAAATCGCATTTACTCACTTACAAATTGGCCCTTTGGTTTTTAATTACAAACTGGCAAATACTTTCTCTCTTTCTAGGGGAAATATATTGTTTAATTCAGCAAGGCTTGAAGGGCAAGCAACATTAGCATTGCCTGTACCTTTCCACCAAGCAGAGGTGAAAGCAATGGGCTAAATCATTCCTGCTAGACATCAGAGTTGAGAAAGGCTTAAAGAGCCCTTGCCTGTGTTTCATGGCCAGGGAATGCATTGTTTATAGCTACAGGGGCCTTCAGTGAAGCCATTTTTGGCAGAATCCCTATTTCAAGTTCTCACCCTGTAATGTACTTGCAATATTCTCTGGGCTGGCCAGCAAGTTCTGCAGGTAAACTTGAAATATGATGGCCCCATTGCAGTGCAAGTGCTTGTATGTGGACTATCCCAACAGGATCCTGTTTTGCTGCAGTTTGCTGACACTGAACATGGCATGGACATCGTTCTTGTGTGCATCTTCTGCATTGTCAGCTATTCACAGGGAGAAGCAGAGACTCTGGGAACTGGTTTAAGCTGCTCATGCCTCGGTCGGAGGATTAAGTGCCTGCTTTTATAAAGCCTGTTAGCTGGTTTGGGAAAATATTCTGTAAGTTGGGCTTCCACAGACTAGATTCTGTACTATTTTTAATGGCTAACTCATTGATTAGGCCCCTTTTTATGCATTTACCATTATCTATGAAATATTGTGGCAGGTTGCCATTTCAGTTCCATGTCATAAAAGTCAATCATGCGTACTTCCTTTCAGGAGGTAATAATAAAATTAAGTTTTGAGGTTTTGTTCTTTCTGTTGTTACTAACAAGGAAAGAATGTTTTTACCATGTGTTTTCTAACTGCTCTGAACAGACTATCTGGCAAATACCAGATACTGTGCCACTTGTATTTTACAGTAATCAGCAATCTTAACTGAGCAAGTACACATTTTATATTGACCTCAGTTGGGTTTTGTAAAGGTTATTTTGCTGTGTGTGCTCTTTCCTGAAAACATGTCTTTTTTTTTTTCATTTCAGCAAGGGAAACCCTATGTCTTTGATAGAGTATTACCTTCAAATACAACCCAGGAACAAGTTTATAATGCTTGTGCCAAACAGATTGTTAAAGGTAAGGAATGTTTAGTTGTTCTTTAATCATGACAGAAGAATAAGTGTGTTGAGCATAAATATTAACTGGTAATAAGCCTTGCTGGGGGAAGAAGGAGGGAAGATATGTGAATGGCTTGCCATTTTCCCCTTTGCTTCTGTTGCTATTTGAGATGCTGGTCTTTCAAATCTTGCATAGTGTGATCTATAGGCTTCTGAAATCCTCTGGGAACTTAAGGATCTTGGCATGGACTCGTCCGTGTCTCTGCTTCCTGTGTTGCAGCAAAAATGGAGAACCAGACTTCACTCTCCTTCCAAATATTGAGGGAGGGACTGTGGCTCTGTGGTAGAGCACGTGCTTTGCTTTGCATACTGAAGGTCTCAGGTTCAATCCACTATCATCTCCAGTAAAAATATCAGGTAACAGGCAATGTGAAAGTCTCTTTGGCTGCATTTGTTCATAATAATAAGTCAAGCTTATAGAGCATCTGAGCTTATTCCGAATATAGCAGCGCACACAGTTTGTTCGTTCGTTCCTGCCTGCTAGCACAATAGCTAAACAAAGCAGAAGAAGTTTGTTTAACATGCTATCTGTACTGAGGATTCTCCCTCTTTGCTTCCTTTATAAGCCAGCAACTATAAACTTTTTTTTAAAGTAAATTTTATTATTATTTTCTTCAAACTAAAAAAAAGAAACTACAAAACATCAATCATCAGAAACATCAGACCTACTGGGTCAGCCCCCCCTTTTTTATAGCAATCCGTAGACATATTCAAATCTACGCATAGTCCCGTTTCTCTAGCCAATAATAAAAAGAGTTCCAAGTTTGATAGAAGTATGTGTCCTCTTTCTCCTTCAGAGACAAAGTCAGTCTGTCCGTTTCAGCACAGTCCAGAATCTTTTTTAAAATCAGTTCATCAGTGGGTGGTTCTTCACTCCTCCAGTGTTGGGTAAATACAATCCTTGCTGCAGTAATTATATGAAGAATCAAATACATTGCCTGTTTATCAACATCGTCAGGTACAATGCCTAGTAAGAAGACTTCAGGTTTAAATATTAAATATTTTTGTAATGTTTCTTCAAGCCATTTATGTATTTTAGCCCAATATTTTTTTGCCTTATCACAAGTCCACCACATATGATTAAAAAGTACCCAGTTTACGTTTGCATTTCCAACATCCATTTGACATATTTGGAAACATCTTTGCTAATCTATTTCATTCATTCATTCATTCATTCATTCATTTGGAGTTTTTGTATGCCGTCCCATTCGCATGAGCCTCGGGACGGCTTCCAATACAATAAATAAACAAAGCAAATAAATAGTACATGTAAATCCAGATTCACCCTGGCTGTAGAATTAAAACCAATAAATAAGTGTTATTAAAATATTGTTTGAATAAAAAGGTCTTGGCCTGGCGCCGAAAAACAAATAACGACGGTGCCAGGTGGACCTCTCTGGGGAGCGCATTCCATAGCCGGGATGCCACCGCAGAGAAGGCCCTCCTCTGGGTACTCTGTCTCCTGATGTCTTTCACGGAGGGTTCCCGGAGGAGGGCCTCTGCCGCCGATCTCAGGGGGCGGGAGGGCAAATATGGAAGCAGGCGTTCCTTTAGGTATCCAAGTCCCAAGCCGTTAAGGGCTTTTTAAGTGATAACCAGCACCTTGAATTGAGCCTGGACTTCGATGGGGAGCCAGTGAAGCTGGTAGAGGACTGGGGTTATGTGACAGTAATGCCCAGTCCCTGTCAGCAACCTGGCTGCTCTATTTTGCACCATCTGAAGTATCCGGACTATCTTCAAGGGCAGCCCCACATAGAGCGCGTTGCAGAAGTCCAATTCCCAATTCATATTGTCAAAGGCCTTCTTCGCATCCAAAAAGACTAAGGCCATCTGTTTTTCTGGATGCATTTGGCAATAGGTACCATCTATAAAACATTTTGTAAAGATTTTCTTTATATGAGGTTGCTAAAGTTACCTTGATATTTCTTTCCCACAACTTTTGCTGTTTCTGTAACTCAATATTATATCCAAAATTTTGTGCCCATTTTGAGCCAGCAATTATAAACTATCAACAAACTGTGAACAGTGATATTGGCTTGTAAAGGGAGCAACAAGCCAAGATTCACCCTAGTTCAGACAAATTTTTCATCAAGATAGAAGTGTGTGTGTCAAGCATAAACCTAAATATGCAGAGCACTACTGAAATAGTAGGAACCAAAGGAAAGGGGTTGCGGATGAGCCCTTACGGTTTTTGTCAATAGGACTGAGTGGACAAAGAACAGCTAAATTACTGCTGACGAGCCTTTCCCCCTTCCTCTGCATATTCCTTTTACAGCAGCGTGTGTGCATTTGTTCTTCTCCCAGCCATCACAGTAAATAAGCCCTCCCTCCCTAGGCGATGACAGTGCTGCACCACCAAAGTGTTTCTGGCAAAGCACCATCAAATTGCAAGTGCCAACCAAAGTTTTCCATGACTCTTCAGGGAAGATGTTTGGGCAGCACTTGCCGTCATGCACGAGCACAGGGACAAAGTGCCAGAACGCCCATGGCCAGTTTGCAGCTTCAATGGGAAATTGAGCTCAGACAGCAAAGATGAAGTGGTTGTGGAATGTCAGCAAGCTCCAACAACAAATCAAGGTCAGGGGACATCTGGAGAGCAAGGAGAGGATTTGTTAATCCAGGTGGGTGGAGATGATGGTCAATGGCCTATGGAAATGGAGAGAGAACGCAGCAGGAGGTGGGTGACAGTCGGGGCTGACAAGAGGCCTGATCTACCAATGAGGAAACAGTGGAAGGAGTTAGGAACTGGGCAGGTTTCATAGCAGGAACGGAGCAGTCTATCTGACACAGAGGACCCTCGCCTGCAGGTGGTGCAAGAGAAAAGAGTATAAGGGGATTGGGGACTGAGAGATGTTAGAGCGGGTGCGGCACTTCACTCTGGGTGAACTCAGAGATGTGTGCAAATAGAGGAGTGTTAAGAAGCATTCTGAAAAAAAGGATGTTTAATACTGCATCCACATTACAGATACTTCTCTTTCTAAACCATCCTTTGGATAAGCAAACATTTGTGTGATGCTGCAATTGCGATGTGTTACAAATATTGTGATTACCTTATTTATCTCTGTCAAAGCGAAGCATTTGTAAGATTTTCAACAAATTGTTTGACACATCCTCATATAGTGCCACCTTGGCCCTCAAGGTTTACTGAGTTTGTTGTTCTGTTCAGTTGTTCAGTTGACAGAGATATCTAAGCATTATTAAATTGGCATGCAGTTTTAAATTTGATGATTCATAGCAGAAAGGCATAAGGAATGATAAATGGTTGGTTTGTCTGCCCTATTCTCCTAAACACCATGTAGAATGTATTTCTCTTGCTCTCCTAAATATCCACAGTGTTATTTAAGTGTGTGGGGGACAGCTGGATCACAGAATGAGGTTCAATGCTGCCATTGCAATAGGTTAATGTTGAATTCTGAAGCTTCAGTTGCAATCCCATATAAATTCTCTCCCATCCATTTTTCTCATATCTTCCTCTGCCTGTTGCTCGTTAGGATAATAAAAAGGCTTTAGTGCATTTTCTGTGCAGGGAAATGAATGTCCTATCAGCTGAATCCTGCTGAATGAAAGGAATTAAGCACCATGGTTACTAGGCAGTGTTATTGGAGCACATGAAAATAAGAAATAGCCAATATACAGAGACTGGTAGGCATTTTTCTTTCTTACTGTAGCTGTTTACAAGGCACATCTGCAGACTTGGATAAAGGCAAATGATATTTTAATGTTTTCATTGGAATAATTGTTTGCTAGACTCTTCTCAGTCCATAGTACATAAACTACTGACTGCTGCATTTAGGTTATTTGTATGTTTGACTCTGTTGAGGAACATTGAAACATTGAAACATAGAAAACAGAGCAAATCAGAAGGGGTCTCCCGGGCCATCTAGTCTGACCTCCGGCACCAGACATGAGAGAGGGTGATCAGAGCATAAATGCCAGCTATATGAAAGGATAAGACTGCATGTGGACCCTGGCTTATCAATCATTAGGCTATTAGCCAATTAGAATCTCTGGCTAGTTTGGGAAGAGATGAGACAGAATCCACACTCAGAGGTCATGATAAACAAGTGGTGGACAGAGGGATCGTGGTCTGTCAGGGTTCCAACTTGCAGGAGGAGTGCAGCAGAGCTTGCTTAGCTACTCGTGCTTTCAGGAGGAGCGAAATTGGAGTGATAGAGCAGGGTGCCTTATTGTTCCCGTGAACAATAAACCAAGATTCTCTAGAGCCAGGACTTATCACTGCTTATTATCACAGTCTGTTTTTGCCCCCAAATACTCACTTTTTATTCAGTTGGATTATCCTGTACTAAAGACGTAAGATTAACGTTTACTTTAAGCATTACAATAGCTACTTAACTGATGTTTTAGAGTAAAACACATGGAAAAAAGACAAGCTACCCTAAGGAAATGACCTGTTAGAGTTAAACTGCTTCCACGACATCTTTCTGATTGTTCCTTTGTGTATGGCTTTCAGCTCTCTCTTAAGTATAAGGAGAAGTATATATACCTCTTCTTGGGACAGGAACCAAATAGTAAAATGTAACGTCCCATCATCCCTTACAGTGAAATACTCTAGGTGAATCCAAAGATTAATATCTAGCATTTTATGCTTAAAATGATTAACTATATCTTGGTTAACCATCTCTGTCCTAAGAAGTATTATCAGCAGGAAACTTCTGCCACATGAACAGCTTCTTCTTGCCAAGCCAGCCATCCTTTTCCCTGCCCTTTATATTTATTTATTGCATTTGCATTTGGCCTAGTTCCATGGTGGGAAGTTACAGCATTAACTCTGAGACCCCAGAGGGCAGCTGCCAAGAAGACAGCATGACAGACAGATCAAACAACAGTAGGCTCTGACTGCATTTTATTGAACTGGTTATTTATTAAATAATGCATTTAATAATATGCAGTAAGATTTCCCCTGTTTTTGTTAGGTGATTCGCCATAATTGAATGTGCA